AAGACATTTTAATCAAAAGCACAGGAACGAACATCTCATCTTGAGTCTATCCCACTTGAATTTCAAAACCCTCTCAGGAACAGGGATGAGGCCTTGAACTCCAATGAGGAAAGGTGAGATGAGCTGTGGGAAGATATCGTGAATATCATGCATGAAGATAAATGCAGAGAAGGAAGACAAGACCAAGATGAATGTCAGAAGAAACTGAATGTTGCCTTTGAGCATGGAGAAGCCAAACAAAGAGAAGAAATTAAGGAGCTGAACAGAAGATTTAAAGGGCAGCACAGGAAGACAAAGTATAATGAAATATGCAGAGATGGAGTCAGAAAATTAAAAGGGATGAACTTTCTCACCATTGGTTAAGCTGAAGAAATTGAAGAACAAATTCAAGCCTCCAGTTGCAATAATCACGGATGCCTTGGGCAGAATATTAAATGTTCAGGAAGCAGTAAAAGGGAGGCATGTACAAAAGGATTTGGCTGACATGGAAGAATTCCGTGTAACAAGGTATGTCCAAGGGCCTGTGGTGATGAAGAAGTTCAAGCTGCTCTGAAAGAATTGGCAAAAAAACGAAGACCCCCAGCAACTGTCGGCATACCCAATGACATATTTCTACTTAGAAACCCTACCCTGGATGTGCTCACCAAGTTGTGCCAAGAAATCTGAAGGTCAACCCCCTAGCCAACTGACTGGAAGAGATCTCTATACCCTGAACTGCCAAGAGAACAAACATGATTTTCATGGTGAGGGTGAAACCAGACTGATCTTTGGACACACACTTTCTGAGGTCTCATCTTCCATATTCTGACCATGTTGCAAGTACGGACCAGTCCTTTGACAGGGACATAATCCTTCCAATTTTAGTATATGTGCTGCTGAAGCAAGCACCGCATTTCCATTATGTTTTTTTTGTTAGTGCCAATTTTCAACTCAACTCATGGGCACTCAATGAAAAGAATTCATGTCTATGACAAGTACTTGTAAAATGTGTCAATTTCTGGGATGGCTTGTGAAGAGGGAAAGGGAAGAAAATAGACCACAATGAAATAAAAACTAAAAGGAACATTTGGGACATTAAGAAGATTATTTGTGCTAAAAAAAATTAAAAAGTAACATTAATTGAAAATCATTTTTTTTTTTATTCTCTGCACTGTTTCTCAAGTACTCTTGCAAAAAGTGACTGCCTCATTTTAGTAAGAGGATTTAACATGCTGGGTAATCAAGGATACATCTGTGAACAAACAGTGATGTTGGCTCATTTTTCAGATTCAGCACATTCACAGTGGATAACAAACTGTACACTAAGAAACTGCTCAGGAACAAAAGAAAGGAATCATGGCATAATTTGAATACCTCAAGGTAGGGAAATAGAACGTTTATCACACAATACATATATTACATTGAAAAGTACACACATACTATCACACAGAACACTCCAAACATCGCACAGGACACATACACCACCTGAGGACACACCACGTCACACAAGACACACACAACGTCACACAGTACACATATACCATCACACAGGACACACATACCATCATCCAGGACACATATAATATTACACAACCTCCATGACAAGACGTCTGACTCTGAAAGAACCTGCACTGATTGGTTGTCTCCTTAAGCAAAAAAAGACTTTTTCTACTTTTGTGCGTGTAAATGCATGTATCCCAATATGAAAAAGATCTTCAGCAAATTAATTATTTCCTAACGCAGTAGCCCTACAGGAGTGTAAACCCCAGTGCCCCACAGACATTTCCCTGGTTTATAACCTCAGAAGCTGATGAATACACGTACAAGAGTGAGTGAACAGAATATATTTAATGTTACGAAACCAGACGTTACTAGCAGACAAAGAATCTTAACGTAAATGCGTATTTCTCTACACCTTATTGCCTCTGACAATACCCGCATTACCCCAGACACTGAATCAATCCATCTAATCCAGCGTCTTCGTGTCTTGCGCTGTCTCCAGACCCTTGTAAGCATGATGTCCCTCTCCAAGGTCTGGTCCCTCCTTGTAACTTGGTCAAAGTATGGCAGAGGAGACCTCAGAAAGGTTGTCTCCGAGGATCTGTTTGCTTTCATTCTCACCATGATGAACTTGTTTGTTCTCCTGGCAGTCCATGGTATAGTGTCTTCTCCAGCACCTCAGCTCAGAGGCATCAATTCTTCCGTCATCCCTAATCATTGTACAGCTTTCAGATGCATAGTAAACAATTGCGAAGACTCTGGCCTGGATCAGGTGCACGTTAGTCTCCAGACTGATGTCACCGATATCACTACACTGGAAAGGTCTTTGGCAGCAGACTGTACCACTGCAATTTGTCTCTTCATTTCCTGCGTACTAGTACCAAGAGTGTTGACTGAAACTAAAGCTGTTAACAATCTCAATCTCATCAGCATATAACATAGATTATTTCTTTTCCTGATGTTGAGCATCAATCCATATGGAAGGCTGCAGTCCCAGACCTTCTGTAGCAAATGATTCATGTCTTCCTCAATTTCAGCAAGCAGGTGTGTGTCATCTGTATAACATAAGCTGTTGATGAATCTTCCTCCATTCTGATGCCACATTCCTCCTCACAGAGTACAGCCTCTCTGATGATCTGTCTTGCACATAGATTGAAAAGGCATGGTGACAGAATAGATCCCTGGTGTACACCCTTCCCAATTTGGAACTATGCAAGTATTTCCTTCCTCTGTTCTGACAACTGCCTTCTGGTCCAAGAATAGTTTTCAAATATGCACACTCAAATGTTCTGGGATTCCCATTCTTCACAGAGTTAGCCACAGTTTCTTGTGTCCTACATAGTCAAACGCCATTGCATAATCAATGAAACACAGGTACACATTTGTCTGTTACTCTCTGCTTTCAGGCAGGATCCATCTTATATTAGCTGTAATATCCCTGGTATCATGGCCTTTTTGAAACCCAGCCTGCACATCTGGCAGTTCTCTGCTGATGAATTGTTCTCGTCATTGAAGGATCATTTTCAGCAGAATCTTGCTTACATGTGATATTAAGATATTGTGTGATAATTTCCACACTCTGTTGGGTTACCTTTCTTTGGAATGGAAGCAAATATAGATCTCTTCCGGTCAGTTGGCCAGGTGGTTGACCTCCAGATTTCTTGGTACACCTTGGTGAGCACGTCCAGGGTAGGGTCTGTTTGTATAAATATATTGGTATGTCGTCAGTTGCTCTGGTCTTTCCCCTCCATCGCCAAAAGCTCTTGGACATACCTTGTTTCATCAAATTCTTCCATGTCAGCCAAATCCTTTTGGAACAGTGACTCTGTATACTCCTTTCATATTGTTTTAATGCTTTCTGAATCATTTAATAT